TAAAAGAGATATTAAAATGGCTAATTGATGCAAAACAAATATATATATATATATATATATATAATCAGGAAAAGAATTAAAAGAATTATTTTGAGATATCAAATTTAAAGAAAAAATAGTTTATCGTGTCAAATTTAAAAATTATATGAATAAATTTTTTAAGTGGATGAAAATGATTAATGAGTGTCAATATTATTTTGAAAATATGTTAATTTTATTTTTCAAAAGTTATTTTATATTGAATATATTAAAAGAAACCCTTTTTCAAAAATAAAATTAGACATCCCTCGTTACATGCTTGCTCCGTTAGTGATTGAATGAAAATGATTAATGGGTGTCAATTTATATTTTAGGCTGTCAAAATTATTTTAAAAATATGTTAATTTTATTTTTAAAAAACATTTTATATTAAATTTATAAAAAGAAACTTCTTTTTCAAAAAAATAAAAATTGGAGAGTCAAATGATACCCCTCATTATATGTTGGCTTCGTTAGTACATATAATAAGTAGAATGATTTAATCATATAATAGCGTTTATAAACTTTTATATTAATTTAAAATTATTTGATGGATATAAATTTATAAATTGAATAAAATTAAAAGTAAAAATCATAATTTTTTGAATAATTCAAACCATTAATTTACATTTATTAAATTATTTTTAAGAAAATCCTATTATATAATTAAATCATACTCTGTAAAATAAATATATATACCCCCCACAAGATTTGCCTGCACTGACTGAACAAAACTAATTGATTCCTTCTTTCATCCTTTAGTATACATGAAATGCATATTAGGTTAGGGCAAGCCAACACCAACCATTCCCTCTCTGAAAATTTAATTCTTGATTTGAATATAGTCACGTGTAAACTTTTGATCAGCATCCTTTACCTTTTTCTTAAAGAAATCTTCAAACATAAAAAGAGTTTAATTATATTTAATGTTAAAATCCACCTTAATATTTGATTTTAAAATCACTTTAATTTTGTAATCACTGTAATCTTTAATATTTATAAAAATAAATTTTAATTAGTTAGCAACTAATGTTTACATAATATCAGATATAATTTTATTTAATAAATTGATACAATTCAATAAGACGATAAAATCAATGGTTAGCCAGTGCACTGAATTTGAAAATTGTTAGATTGTTGGTAAAAATAATGTTTAAATTAAATTATAGTTGGAGTTAATTATATATATTCAGTGGTATCAAGAAGCTGTTGGTCTAGTGTGATGAGATACTAGATTCCTTAAGCAATGTTAGGGCGAATGGAGTAAATTGGGTTGGGAGGGTCGCCCTCGCCTCTGCAGTACCCAATCCGGATTAGTCGATCAATTGATCGAAAATCGATGGTTTATATATATATATATATATTCATTGATTGTTACTCTTATGGGTCTTAATTTCGAATACCAAATATAGTTGTGTATTTGAGCATTTGTTGTCAAATGATTGAGAGTCTTTAAAATAGATATTACCACTTGCAAGAACACAAGATTAATAAAAAAATTATATATGCTAATTATAAATATTATAAAAATATACTTATAATATTAATTAAAATATATTAATTTTATAAAAAAATATTTGTATATTTATATTTATGAATATATATTAAATATAAATATTATGAGAATATATCTAAAACATTAATTATAATATATATATTATATTATTTTTATAAAATTAACTATATTTAAATTTATATAAATATATTAATTATTTTGAAAAGTATTAAAATGATTAATATTTTTCCTAATAATTCTTTTATATTCTTTCAATTGTTATTGAGGACCATAAAAGATTAAACTGATATTTAATGCAGTGCGACTCACCGTAGGCTAGAGTTATTGATATTATCATAGATGAGCATAGATCGGGTTGAATTTATTGTCTATCCAATTTAACTTGATAAAATATATTTTTTTATGTAGAATTAACTCGATTTGAGTTTAAGATAATTTTATCCGAATTAATATCGTCTTTTGAGATAAATTATGAATCATCTGGTCCAATCCAACTTGACATGACATAAATATATATAAATTGTTAATTTTATTTAATAAATTAGAGATTTAATTGTAAAAATAATATAAATAGTGATATAATTATAGTTATCCTCAAATATATGGTTTATAATTACATTATTTTTTAAGTCGAATCGAATATTTTCACTATAAATCCAAATTCAACTAACTCAAATTTATACTCTAAAAAACTTAAACCAAGCATAACTCAATTTTTAAAAAAATGACCCAATGAGATTAGATTAGATCGATACCCGTCGAATATGAGTCTCATATCCATCCCTAGATATTGCATCAATTAATATAACTTATAACAAAAATTATAAATAATTAATATAATTTATATTATAATTAATACATTTTTATAAATATAGTTAATTATTTTTATAAAATAGTATATTATAATTGATATTATAAATACTTTTTTTTTAATTTATCTTATAATTAGTATACTTTTACAAATTATATATAACTAATTTAATCGCAATCAATTTAAATATTTTTTTTCAAAAACATATTAACTTTTAAGCTTGGTGCAGGGATTATTTTAGAACTAAATCATAATAAATATGATAATTAATCAGGTTTAAACCATGTCAAATCATCAAGAATAAAAATATTAGATGCAGAATAAAAATATTAGATGCGGAAGCATACTTGAATTAATTGATGTATGGAAATCATTGAATCTTTTTTTAATTGTGATATTCTAAGAAGATAGAGCTCCTTAAGTATAAACTATCTGACGGAATAAGAGTAATACGAGATTATCTATTTCTTGAGGATCATAACCACTTTATATAATTGATTTAAGAATCAATTATTGTCTGTACTTGTAACTTTGTCCCTCATCGAATTATAAATACAACTTTAATAGTATATGTACTTTTTATTTCTATGACACTTCTAATACCTTATGACTTTATAACATAATTGTTTACTTAATTTATATAATATTTTATGATAATAATATACATTATAAATATGTGTCCATTATTATGAATTTTAATCTAACATATTATGCTTTGAGTTTTCACACCAAAAAATCTTGGTTCAGATTCTCCCAGCTTTAATCTGGATCAAAATTGAAATATAAAGAGTTAAAAAGGATTTGAGTTCAATGAAATAGACTTTCATATAGTGAAAGTAGTAGGAAACTAGTATATATACAATTTTGTAAAGATGCGATGTAGATATCAATCAAATCGATAAAAACAATATATATTATAATTGATACATAATGATCTATAATCAATTCGCGGATTATTACCCAACATATTATAACAAAATAAACTAATTATCTACACACAATCATATATCAACAATATTATAATACTATTTTCAAAAACTAAGATTGAGTCCTAATACTAATGCCAAAAAGAATCCATTGTTATTGAAATCGGGTATATTCTAATAAATTCATGCAAGTATACATTTAAAAATTATACCCTACAAGTTTGAATTTTAATTTTAGTACCACCATATTTAAAAAAAAAAAAATGTCCAAGTCACGCGTTAAAAATAGATAATGAATTGATCATCAAAATATCATTACATAATCGGTCTTCCTCCAAATTTCAGTAAACCTAAGGAAGAACAAGTTATAGGGTTATAGCACCATGAAAAAGACCTGAAATTAACCGTAAATTAAGGGCAATACATTGTTACTTGTCTACCTACTACAACCGTAAATTTGGTCCTCTGTCCAATTCCATCGCACCTAATTTTTATATTTTGCCTTTGATAACCGGGCAAGGGAAAATCAAACGCAAAACCACATTGTTTTTATTTTTATTTATTTTTTAACGAGGAAAATAATTAATGCAATGGCTGAGTTTTAAAAGCCACAACCGTCTTAATAAAGACCTTGCGGTTTTGTTTTCATAATTAAGCATATATATTTGATTAACAAATCCTCGAAATAATATATTTATTTCTCAATATATTAATATCTATAGTAACTTCTTTAATTAATACTAATACCTTTGTTACTTAACATGCTAAACTAATCTAGTTTCACCGGTACATTTTTGAGGAAAAAGGACATCTGTCTACTTCAACCAATAGAAAGAGAGTAAAGCTGAAACTTCAAATTTAGCTTTATCCATATAATCATTTTAGTTCAATAATATACCTAATTAATTAATATTTAGTTTAAAAAAGCTTGCACTTTAAGGAAAGCTACCTTTCGCTGGACTTGCCTTTGTTATTAAGGAATACCACCAGTAATAAATCAGTATGGAAATAATAGATTAAGGAAAATAAATCTCTAATTAACCGGCAAAGCAGGCTTTATCAGGCAAGAATGGTTGAATAAATTTTATTTTCACAAGTAATGCACCCGTCAAATTATTTTCTCGAATAAGATGAGTTTTACAGTGATATAGGCTTCATGGGCAGATGACAGTGATGTAACTTTGCAGGAGACGAGAAATGCATTGAAGACACGTGATAATCCCTGGATCTTCACCTTCAAGACGAGTAGAAATCTTGATGTCTTAAACAAATTGTAAAAAATTCTCTACATTTTTACTATGTACTGTATCAAATGACCTATTTAGATAAATAATTTGACGAGCGTAGTGTTTGGGGAAATAAAAATTCTTCAAGCATTTTTGTCGGCTTTCTTTATCATTTTTTATCCTTAAAAGAATCCTGGCTTTCCATTTTGAGGGAGCAAATAAAGGCCGGAACGAAGCCCGTCACGTCTTGCCCGTAAATCTCGACGTGCCACGTGGAATTCGTATCCTACGCTGACGTGGGCAGTATAACAGTCTTTCCAAGCTCAAAACAATATGGAAAAACACGGTCAATATCTAATATGTAATTTTATAAGCTATATAAAAGATTTTAAGTTATTTTTTGTTCACATTTTGAGATTATAATTTGATATGATATTTTGATTTTTCATATAAATATAAATATAAATATAAATAAAAGAAGGAGAAGTCTGCAGGGAAGGAAGGAAAGAGAGATAGAGAACGAGAAACAAGGCCGTCCAAAAGCAGCAGAGGAAATAAATTTGAAGTGTTGGTGATGGTTTTATTGTTTGCTTAACTGAAGTCGGGCTTTATGTTATTAAGCTCATCTCTATTTTAGGGTTGGAAAAACAAACGACTAGAAATTTGGAAAGAAAAAGAAAAAAAAATAAGACGACAAAAAGGAAAACGTAGAAGAAAAAAGGACAGATTAATCGCAGATCCCGTTCTGCTTTGAAGACTCATCTTAATCCGATAGATCTGTTACTCACATTTTCTCCAGCTGTATTCACACGGTTTCTTTTAATTTTCTAATTTATTATCTTTCTTCATTGTTTGTTTGATTTTTATTTGATTATTTTGGGGGTTTGGATGTAGTTTTATTGGAATTCTTTGGTTGTTTGGCCGAGTAGTCGGAGACGGAGGTGGAATGAGATCCTTCTAGACGAGATTCTAGAAGTTAAGATCTGGTGCTTGCGGCGGCGGCTGTGACGCCGTCGGATGAGAGGAGAGAGACGATCCAAAGGGATAAAAAATGAAATGGGTATCATTGCTTAAGGACATCAAGGAAAAAGTCGGTTTAGCTCAATCTCCCACTACTACTTCCACTGCTACAGCTGTTTCTTCTTCTTCTTATTCGTCTTCCAATCACGATACAAATGCTTCCTCAGCCCTCCACGACTATGTTTCCTCTTCTTCGAGGTTCGAATCATTATTTTCATTTTTTCTGAACTTTTGAATATTTGTTGACTTTTTCTATGTTTGCATTTTCATCAGTCGATGATTAAATTTAGGAGATTAACTGGTAGAGTCCTAGTTGCGAGCTTTATTAAAAGCTTGACTGCTTCTAACGTTGATCTCCAATGTATTTTGGGAAATTAGAAATATAGCTTCAGTTATAAACTGTATGCCTTTGTCGATCTCTTTATTTTTTAAAGATAAGCTTTTGATGAGATGTTCGTTAAGTGTACTGCTGCCATTTCTGTAACAAAAGATTCAAGTTTAGATTTAAATAATGTTTTGGTACTGTTCAATTGCTTGTCTGCACGGTTGAACTTAATTAAATGTGCCAATGTAAAGCATTTGTGATTGTTGGCTAGTATTTTTTCTGTTAGGGCAACTAATATTTTGTTAGGATAAAATTGCACAACTTAGTTTCAGCTATTTCAAGCAAAGTTCAGTTAGTTCTGGGTTGCTGTTTCTACTTAAAGGTCTTAAGAGATTGAAAAAATAGCAACAAACAGGCATGTACGAAATAGAATCAATATGAACTAGAAATGATCCTATTAGAAGTTCTTGACAATAAGTCTTGTACATGACTAAAATTAAGTTGAAGGACATTCCTATTAGTATACTGGGAAGAAAAATAAGGATTTATTAACAATTATTGGAGATATAATGACAATAGGGTAAATTATACTTCTCTATTAATTTGTTGCTTCTTTTATTTTTTTAATGAGTTCTTGAGCTTTTTAAGCCTTGTTGCATCTTTTCTTTATTTCTGCCGTTGAAATATTTTACTCACTCCTGAAATTCATCATTCAATGTTTCTAAACTTCCATGACATTTTGATATGACTTGCCAATGATCTATTGATCTAAGTAGGAGGCAATTGAGATCAAATTGAGTGTGGGCTTGTGTTTACAGTTTGAAATAGTGTAGACATTGGTTTTTCAATGGATAGATTTTTATGACATGGTTTTCAATGGATAGATGTTTTATTTACTCAACATTTAGGCATGAACTTTGGATTGTAATAAAATATCATCTATCACCGGTTTCAAAGATGTTAGATGCTCTTTAGTTACAAATAAGTCCTGCAATGTCGCTGAATTTCCTTATTTTGCAATGAAACTATGTGGGACAGTGCTAGGTACTTTACTGTCCTACGGCTCCCCATTTTCTTTGAAGCAGGGAGTTGATAATAATGTAATGCTAATGCCTCTTTTGTTAGTCCTGTTACGCCGTTGTGTCAAGTATGAGGTTTTATGCTAACTATGTGGTGGAACATTTATTATCGTCGTTGTTCAGTTTCCGATCATACACTTATTTTCTTTATTTTTTATTGTGATGAACTGGCCAGATTTTTTTTGAAGTTGCTCATTTCTATTTATTTATACAATTAAGTCAAATTTGAACACTTGCAAAGTGCCTTCTTTTCTCAGCTTCCAGTTCTTTTGCTCAGTGGATGTGAATTTCTTTCTATATATTATTTTACTAGTGACAGCAGAGATAAACATGAGTTGGAGTTGGACTTCAAGAGATTCTGGGAAGAGTTCCGCTCATCCAATTCTGAGAAGGTTCTTTCTCATCTATGTTCTAAATCCCAACTCTGTTTTATGTACCATCTCAATTTTCCTTATGTTTTGTGTTGTCTTTGCAGGAGAAAGAAGCGGCCTTGAATTTGACTATAGATGTCTTTTGTAGACTAGTCAAGCAGCATGCTAATGTAGCTCAATTAGTCACCCTGTATGAATTCTGATCCTCCAGTCTGCTTTCTTAATATTGCATACCATTTTTTGTCAAGGAGTTCTACTCTTTTCTGATCACTGAGCACAACTTGTTTGTAGCTTTCATGTTAAGCACCATTGCCATTGGTTGCTCTATTCCATCAAATCTTCACATGTTTGTTTAGTTGTAGGGAAACACTTCTCCTGTAACATTGTTAATTTATTGTCATGTTTCATCAGAAAATATTTCAACTTGGAGTTAGCCTTACTTTGAAGTTTGTCTATCAAGATTCTTTCTCCTGATACTTGGTCATACTTTATGGTTCATCTTACTGCAACTTGATCCGGTTGGCGTTAGAAAGATTACATTCTCTCTATTTTCTGTGATCATTTAGATTTATATTGTTTGCTTTAAATTTTAGCTGCTAGGATCCATCCAAAGAAATTTCAAAGAAATTTCGACTACACAAACTATGTTGACACCTTTTTTTGGTAAGTCTGATGGGGATTGTTGTAATTAAAGTTAAGTCTCTGTAATATTCAATATTTCATCAGCTTCAGCTTCAAATCTTGTTAAGAAATCATCTATTAATCATTTTCTTTGTGCCATTGGAGTTGTACTCTTTTTGTATCTCTCCTGAAGAAAAGTTGGATTATTTCTGTGCTTACAGTTTGCCAAATGGTTACTAGCTCAGCACTGTGCATCTCCATTATCATATTGATGCTTTCTTCCTTTCTCGAATTGTGAGTCTGTTGACTAATGTTAACAAATTTAATTTAATTACAGGTTAGTAGAAACACATATATTCTCTTTTGTTGTGGGAAGAGCATTCGTAACAGATATTGAAAAGTTAAAAATTAGCAGCAAAACAAGATCTTTAGATGTACTGAAAGTACTACAGTTTTTCTCTGAACTGACTGAGGTTTGGCTCTGGGATCCATGCGCTTTACATCTTTATGTCTTAACTACTGCTATTGTTTCTGGGTTTCTTATAGAGTTATATTTTTACACGGTTATCTGCAGGCTGGCTTCAGTCCCGGTTCAAATTTGTTGACTGCTGTTGAAATCCTTGTGTCAGGGGTACATCTCATTAATCTACAATAGCTTAATTGATGTTCTGTGGGTGAAATCATGCCGTTATATTTCTTTCGGATATTTAAACAACATTAATTACTATTTTTCTGTTCTTTGCAGTCTATTGATAAACAATCTCTCCTTGATTCTGGGATATTTTGCTGTCTCGTACATATTTTGAATGCTCTTTTGAGTCCTGATCAGACCAATCAGAAGCCAAAAATTAATGATCATGAGGATTCAATGGTAGCTGAAAAGGATTCAGCTGCTGATGTTGGGCAAGCCCGCAAACTTGAGGTTGCTTTATTTTTAAGATTTCTTGAACTTATAATTGCTTTGTACATATTTTGAACTCATATGTATGATCCTTATGTTTGGGCATGTGCACATACTTTGTATCTCTATTATATTTTATTGAAGTTTTTAAAAGAAATCTTATTGCAAAGTACTGTTTTTTATTTTCAATTATTACTGATCTGTAAAACATTCAATTTAATGAGACATCTTTTCCTTCCCTTGTGGGAATTGCTTTTTTTTTTTCAGTTTTATCTTACTGGGAAACAAGTCATATATCTTGAACACAGATGACTTGGATAATGTCTTTTGGTTTGACTTGAAACTTGTTTCTATACATCAGATAGAAGGAAGAGTGGTGCATAATATGAAAGCACTGGCAAGTCATCCTTCAACAGCACAGAGTTTGATTGAGGACGATTCTCTGATGTTGCTATTTCAGATGGTTGCCAATGGATCTGTAATTGTCTTCTCTAGGTATAAGGAAGGCCTTGTTTCACTGCACATCATACAACTTCATAGACATGCTATGCAGGTAAATTCGTTTTGCTTTAATATGTAAATGTTAATATGGAGGAGTTTCATGTTAGCTTAATGTGCTATTTGTTAACTGGTATAATTTTTCTGTTCTTGTAGATCCTTGGACTTCTTTTGGTCAATGATAATGGAAGCACGGCTAAATACATTCACAAACATCAGCTGGTATGTGCTCTTGTGGAAAGGTTTAAGAGCATATCTGAAGAACAAATATTTCTTTCTATTTGCCATTTCAGTTTCTTATATTTTCCTGCTTTTAAATATAGTTTCCAATGCTTTGGGGGATCTTTAATAATTGGATCATATTTTCTTTACACTTGAGGCTTTTGATAGTTTATTTTGGCTGAACGGTGAAGAATTATATAACAGTAAGGCATGAATTATGCATTGAATTGTAAAGTAATTTAGGCATAACATTTGGAGAGTGTTAGAGTTCATGCGTTAAGTGAGGGTAGGATTGTGTGTTAAATAATTTTGAAAAAGTTTGGGTGACCATTTTAGGAGTATGACATATGGTTTTTGTGTTATGTAGAATTGTGTATATACAACAGTAGGATGCGTTCTAGGTCTCCCACTTTGTTCTATATTCGGTATTTTCATTTAATTTGTCTGGGCATCAACTCAAGTCTAGTGATAATGGTTGTAACTCAATTGAACGGATACTTCATTGCTTTAGAGTTTTTAGTGTACTTTAATTCATTGTAGAGAGAGAGCTGGTGAGCAGAATACAATGTTGATTGGTATCTACTCCCATTATTGTTATGTAGTCTTTCTGAAGACAGAGGCTTAACTTTTTTTTTGATAGGAATAGGAGGCCTCATTAAAAAACTCCCTCTTAGTTGGCTCTTGTGAAAGAGGCAACTAGCGGAAGGAGGAAAAGAGTGCCTCATTTTATTAATAAACCATAATTACATAAGATACAACTTACATAATAAACATCCCTAGATAAAATACATAACACTACAACAACAAAACACAACACCTCAACCAATCCCCTCTTTTGCTAGCTTGTCTACTTCCCAATTACAACTCCTTGGAATCCAATTAATAATAACACCCCTAGCAGATATATAGACCCCAATTTCCTCAACCAAAGAACTAAAAAATGTTGGGGCAGAAAAAGGTATCAAGATCCAATCCACTGCTTTTCTGCAATCACTCTCTAGGAACTACTCCAGGGATAAACTTCCAGATGGTAGAGTACTCCCTAATATAAGACCAAGAACAAAGTAGTGAAGCAGGATCTTGGGACAAAACTGTAGAAATATCCCAAAACTTTATGAATCTATTCCACAACTCCATTGCAACCGAACAAGATATGAAAAGATGTTGAATTGATTCCTCAAAATTATGACATAATGGACACTGGACATTTTCCAGATTAATTCCTCTTTTCTTAAGTTCCACTCTAACAGCCACTTTCCTATGAGTAATCTGCCATAGGAAAATTTCCACTCTAGGAGGTACCAATCCAGACCAAACCCACTTCCACTGAAAAGTATCTCCATTTCTGCTTGAAAGAGCCATTCTGCATGACTTAACCGAGAACAAACCATCACCATTCCCCGACCACCCAAGGAAATCATCCACTGATTCAGACAGGAGAATATTCTCAATCAAAAGCATTAATGACGAAAAAAAGGATTTGGGAGGCAAAAAAATGAGAGAAGGTAGAGAGAGAGTGAGTGAGTCTTTCAAGAGCAAGTTCGCTGTCGATAAGATTAGAGAGGTTCATGGAGGAGTTACTTGGTCAGCTTTCGTCGATAATCTTAGTAGGCAAGTGAGACGCAGTGATTTATGGATTCGTTTTAGTCGTTATGGTAAAGTCATTAAGGTGTTCATTCCTCTTTTCAATAATAGACCGAAGTATAAGGTTAATACGTTCGCGTTTGTCCATTTCGAAAGCAAGGAAGATCTGTGTAATGCAGTGGAAAAGATGAACAACGTCTTGATTGATGGGAGGAGAATTTCAGTGACTGTAGCTAAATATAAGAAACATTTTGGGTTGAGGAGGCAGATTGCTGGGGGGGTTGAGGGTGCAACTAGTGTTGGTATCAGAGGGCGAAAGGTTGGAAGTTTGTCTTCGTCAGCTGGAAGGGTAAGGAAGTTGGAGATGATGAATAGGTTTCATGATGGAAGGTCTTATTCAGATGCGGTTGTTGGGGTACATAAAGAGACAGAGGTTGTGCAAGAGGGGAAGCTCACAAATGCGAAGGAGATGAATAACGCTAGGGATGTGTATATTCCAGTGGAGGAAAGGGCCTGGTTGAGATCGTCCCTTACTGGTATTTGTAAAGAGTTTCATGAAATTCAAATTGTGCAGAAAGCATTAAGGAATGAGGGCTTTAATGTGAAGGTTGTAAGGTGGGGCTTTGCTAAGAATGCTTGCTTGGTCGATGAGGACAACATTCCCTTAGCTTATTGCTCGATCTCCATGATAGGAGTCCCTTTAAACTGCTGGTCGGTTCCTTTTTTTACTAGGTTGGTATCCAAGTGGGGTAAACTAGTTAAGATTAAAGATGAAACTGCACAGAAAGTGGACTGCAGAGTGGCGCAAATGATCCTGAGGGTCTTTAGTCCTTTTGACATTCCTGATCATACTACCATTACAACGTATGGGAGGAAATTTCTGGTCAAAATAAAGGTGGAAGGTGGTGATGTTTTCTTTCCTGAGTTGTCAGAATTTGTTGAAGATGATGTTCTAGAGGAGCCATGGGCGGAGCGCTCTTCCAATTGGAGCACAGAGAATGTTTAGGTGAAGCATGGAGGCCATGTGGGTTGTCAGAAACCCGTAGAAGGGTTCAGGACTGGGTTCAGGGCTCGCATCATAGTAAAAGTACAGAAACCGAGAGAGTTGTCTCCACTCAGCATGAAAAGTCGAGAGGCTTGTCTGTAGGGATGGATAGTGGGAAGAGTGTGGGGGGAGATTCCTATGCGCTTGATATAGTTGACAGGGAGGTTGGGCTTCAAAAAGATAAAATCAAGGATCCAGTGGGTATCGAAGATGGAGACGGGCCTGCTGTTGGTTTAAAGTTGTTAAATTCAAGAGCTGGTTCACAAGCAGGTTCTGTAAGCTCGATATCCATGAAGACTGCTCCGGTTGCTAGGGAACTTATCAGAAGTCGCAAGATATTTTATAGCAGGTCGAAATGCAGAAAGATTTGGATTAATAATGTGCAGGATTGACAGAATGAACAAGACGGGAAGGAGGTTCCCCGAGGGGTGTTAAATGATGTGATGGGCAGGGACTTATGTTCAAGAGGTTGTCTTTCTGAAGTTGCTGAGGCAGCTGGGTTTCTGCAAGGGACAATGATGGTGCTAGGCCGAGGAGAATTATCAGGAGAGTTAAAAGATCCCTTTGTAGGGATGCTACGGATCATGCTAGTGTCTCTACATTATCTTCATCAGTGTTTCCCTTGTTGGTGGAGGAAGCTATTGCTACATGGGAAATTAGCAAGTTATTGGGAATTTCTTTCAAAGAAGGGAGGGAAGCTTTTATACAGAAGATTATAGAGTTGGAGAAAGGTTTGAGTGGGGCTCCTTGAGGTCGAATGTTTTCCTTGGAGTTTAGGCATTATTAATCTAGAGTATCATGCCAAAGCTTAGTATTTTGTCGTGGAAAGTTAGGGGTTTGGGTAGAAGAGAGAAGCAAAGAGTTGTGCAAAAGTTAGTTTCGGAGAGAAATCCTACTTTTCTATTTCTTCAAGAAACAAAACTCGAGAATTTACCAAGATCTTTTTTAAGGAGAAGTGGTTTGAATAGGCTGCAGAGGTTCGTTGAGTCACCAGCAGAAGGTTCTTCTGGTGGTTTGTTAAGTTGCTGGGATGATAGTTCCTTTGTGGTAGAAGATCATCATATTCACAAGAGGTTTATTGCTGTCTTCGGGGAGTTCAAATCCAATAATTTTAGGTGTGGTTTCATAAACGTTTATGGTCCATCTGTGGAGGAAGAGAAGGCTGGTTTCTTTGAAGAACTGGGACTGTTTTTAAACGGGTATAATATCCCTTTTTGTGTGGGAGGGGATTTTAACGCTTATTTATCAGAAGATGAGAAGGAAGGCAGGGCTCACAATAGAAACTCTATGGAAATCTTTAGTATTTTCATTCAGCTAACGGGGCTTATTGATTTACCTCTTATTGGGGGTAACTTTACCTGGAGTAGTAATAGGGATTTGCCTACTGTTGTTAAGCTCGACAGTTCCTGATGAGTGCTAGTTTCTCTGCAGAATTCTCTGGGATCAATCAGTTTTTACTGCCTAAATCTATCTCTGATCATAATGCAATTTTGTTTGAGATTGGGGAAGATAATTGGGGAAAGCGACCTTTCAGGCTGTTCAATTATTTAATGTATGAGGATGGGTTTGAGGAGAAGGTCGTGGAGTCATTTAAGGAATTTAAAAAAGACAAGAAAAGTGCTGGAATTTTGAGTATACTTAGGAATACAAAGTATGCCATTAAAAGCTGGTCTGGGGATAGGAATCAGTTTCCACGTGTGGACATTTCTGTTCTTGAAGACAAAATTCACCAATTAGAAAGGAGGATGCAGCAAAATCAGTCATCCAGTGCTGTTGGGAACGCGTCAGAGTTGAGGTTGTTAAGAAATGATCTTTGGAAACTATACAGAATTGAGGAGCAAATTTGGTGCCAAAATTCTAGAGAGAAGTGGTTTAAAGATGGTGACCGAAATTCTAAATTTTTTCATACATGCGCTTCAATTAGAAGGAGAATAAATTCTCTGAATGCTATTAATGTTGATGGTGTAATTATCAAAGATCCTGTCATTATCAAGTCTAGTGTCAGGGAGCATTTCTTTAAAGCCTATAACAGTGTTTCAACTTTGGAAGTGGAGGATTTTGAGTTGAATTTTTCTCGTATTTCTATGGAGAAGAATTTAATGTTAGAAAAGGAGTTTACGGAAGAAGAGATTTGGGAAATCATCAGCTCGTGTGATAGTAATAAAGCTCCAGGGCCCGATGGGTTAAATATGGGTTTTTTTTTTAAATTCTGGTCTTACTTGAAAGGTGATATTATGAAGTTTTTTCATAATTTCTTTTTGGGGAAGGATTGGGAACATGGCATAAATCATTCTTTCATAACTCTCATCCCCAAGGGCTCTAATGTTGGGGGTTTAGATGAGTTCAGACCTATTTCACTTGTAGGTGGGAT